CCTGGAGATGAGGCTGGGGTTTTATTTGGTAATGGTATTAGTTCAGCCTTGCAAAACATTGCTTGCCTGAGGTGAGTAACAGGTTTTGAGGGTGAGTAAAACACCGTCTGTCACCATCACAGCCAAGTACAGGCGAGGTGTCTGAGCTCCTAAGGGTTCTGAGCAGTTCTGGGTTTAGTTGTGCTGCAAGGAGTCATGATGGGGTTAGTGTGTTTGTGTTTGAAGTGCAGCTCTGTTCCTCATTGGTGGCACAGGAGAGGCTGGCAGATGTCACCTGTCAGGTGCCAGACACCTCTGCAGAGCTCCCAGGAGATGGGAGCTTCAGAGCTGGTTTGCACTGCGTGAGAGGAGCAGCTTTGCTCAGCTCCTGCCCTGTTTCAGGGCAGAAGGGTGATTTGTAAATCAGTTGTTCCCAGAACAACACAGTATCAGATGGTTGCCTTGATGCCAGGTGCTTCTTGAGTGGGATTTTGCCTCCTGGTCCATGGAAGCTTTGCCAGAAATGCTGCAAACTTCACGTTAATACTTAATTTACAGTGTTTGGGTTTATTGCACCATTGCATTCCTCACCAGAGAGAGACACTGAAATCCTCATGTCATTGGAAATTATCCTGGCAGCACCTGGAATGGGATTTCTGTTGAAATATTTCTCTTCCCATCAAGTCTGATGGTGTTTATAGAAGTAGAGTGAACCCCTATCTACCCATTTAGCCTTCACACTCCCTTTGAGTGAACTTTACTCTTTTTTCTTCCTGTTGTTTTTTGTTTTTATTTTTTTTAATTTTTCATCCCCTAACAAAGGTAAGATGGATGTTAAAAGCCAAAGCTGGTTTTCTACAGTAACAATGAGATGGTTTCCCAAGCCTGCACTGGTTCAGGGGCAGAAATGAGATCAAAACCTGAGTATTTCTGGCCTTTTCCTGTGGATTCCCTGTCTAAAGATAAAGCATAGAGGTCTGGGTGGAAGCATATTAATTAGGCTTCATTATCTCTGTCCGCCTGGCAATCATTTATCATTTCATAAATCTGAATCTGCAACTTGGAACTGAATAACTCATCTCAGTTTTGAAGTATCTTCTTTTGCCTTAATGTTTCTGAGACTTAAAATGCTAAAGATGAATAGAAATCACAAACTGGGACAAATGAGGAATATTTGGGCCTGACTATGGTTCTTCACAATGTTTCATGTTAGTTTCTGCTCTCTTTTTAATTGCCCCATTTGCTTCCTTTTATTGGATTCTCTTGATTTTAATGCAGGTTTTACTAATAAGGGAGCATTATAAGAAAAGCAATTATTTCATTTTTCTGTGGGTTCTACTGGATTTATAAAATGCAGAGATGAGAAAGACCAATTATTTTATCAGGTCTTCTCTGCTTAATTTCCAAATTATTTTCTACATTTTGATTTTTGACATTTTTCCTGGCCCAGTTTGAAGTAAATTCTCCAAGTTAATTACTTCTGTGCAAGTAACTTCCAAACTTGTTCTCCTAGAGGGAGCTTTGTAAATAATCTTGGTGCTTGAGCTTCTTTATTTTTAAAGCCTGAACACAAAGAATAAAATCTAAAAAAGGCTGGGCTTGCCCTTGTTGAAACTGGTGACCAAACATTTGCTATAAACAAATGTTTATAGATGTACAAGGCTCCATCAAATATTAATATATTCAATACCACCCAACACAAGGCTCAGTGAGTGCAGTTCTGCCTCTCCCTGCAGCTGTGGGGATGGGGATGTTCTGTGACCCTGAACGTGGACATGGCCACAGATGTTCCACACCTGCACTTCCCATAAACCAGTGGAAGCTGGGGAGCTCCTGCAGAGGTTATCCCAGGTATATTTCCTATTGCCATTTGCAAACATCTGCCCTGCTTTTGGCCCAGTTAAAATAATCCTAAAGAGCTGTGGTGGTGCTGGAATTGGAGCTGCAGGAATGCTGAAGTGTCCTGTGCTGCCCAGCATCAGGTCCATGGGTCTGCCTTTGGTTGAATTACGCTCACACTGAACCTGTAGGTAGAAAGTTGAGCACCTGGAAGGCTTCAGGTCAAGAATGGAGTTCAGGGGCAAACAGGGCTCTCAGGAATCAGAACCAAGGTCTGATGGTCACAAACCTGGGGTTCTGTGTTAGAGGAGGGGGAGTGGCTGTTGACATTTGCAAATGAAGGCAGTCAGCTGTTCTGTTCCATTGTGCTGAAAACAAATACACAGAGTTGCCTTCAAGGCTGCAAGTTCTGAGTCTTGGGGAGGAAAAGATGAATTTCAAGTGAAATAAATTTGTGCTGAAGGAACTTGAGAGCTCTGAAAAATCAGGTGGTTGTTGTTGTTACCGCATCAGGCATTCAGAATCGGGTCCCTTACATTCGACCTGTGTTCATAATCTTCCTTTTCTTCCTCCTCCTCCCTTTGAGCAGTGGGGAAGGGCTGTGAAGGACCTTAAGCTATGAGGAGACAATTCTGCCAGCAGATGTGGATAAGCCTTCATGCTTGGGGTGTTCTGAGATCAGTGGGCTACACCTCCCATAAAACATGGAATTGGTCCATTGACTCCTTTGGGTTATTTTGCAGGGGTGTAACTTTTGCCCTGTGTTCAATCCAAGTCATTGCACTTCTGCTCCTTACCCAGCAGTAACATTCCATTGCAGAAACAGCTTCAATTTATTGATTCTTCCTAATGGCAGAGAATCAACAAAGCACCACATTATTTATTAGACTGAAAGACACCAAATAATAATGTGTTGTTTTATATTAGATGATCAAGTGGAAGAGCCCTCAGTACCTTGGTTAGTGGGTCTGGTTGGAATGTTCATCTGGAACACAATAACTGGCTGTCCAGAGAGCTGCTTTGTCCTTAAGATGCCAAATATTTTTTTTTCCCTGTTTAATCCTTTTTCCTCCTCTCTCTTCCTGCTATATTCCAGTTCTTGCATGCACAAAATACATTTTTCCTTAATACCATTCAAGAACATCTCTGGAAGGACAGATTATTTCTGGAGGGTTTGTGTGGATTTCATATTAGCGAACCTGCTCTACTGAGCTCTGTTGTGTAAAGGAAGATTCAGTCCTGATAGTAAATTCTGCATTTCCAGAACTTAGGAATGAGAGATAGAGCTGTGGGATGAAACTGGAGGTTCCCCCCTGATCAGCTAGGCCTCACCCACAGATCAGAGACTGTTAGTAAAGATGCTGGTTGTTTTTGTGATACAAATGTGTGTGTTCTGGGATTGGGGTTGGGCTTCCCCAGCTCACCTGGCCGCAGGTGCACTGTGAGGTTTTGGCAGGAGGGAGCCCTGGCCTCTGTCTGCAGCGGTTTGGGCAGAACCAGAACTGTTCATTCAGTGCAGGGGCATCACTGCCCTGGAGACCTCTGCTCCTGCAGTGCCTGGGCACCTTCCCAGCTCCTGGGCGCAGGAACTCTGTCTGGAGCAGCATGTGGAGCTTGGAGATCTCCTTCCACTGCCCTTCTGCCATGGCACCGAGCTGCCCCACCAGCCTCAGCCTCTGGAATCTGCACCAGGATGCTGCTGCTCCTGAGGTGTTTGAGGGAGATGAACTGAATGGAATCCTGCAGGAAGCTGAGTCCACTCAGAATTGTCATTTCTTCAGAATGGGACATTTCTCTTTGTGTTGAAATGGAATGATGCTCTGTCTCCTTGGGGCTGCAGAGAAGGATGTGAGCCTTTCAGAAGCAAGTCCAGCATCTTTGAAGCTTTAAAAAATACAAGCTTTCGATAAAGAGAGGGAAGAACATTTGGGATGAAGCTTTGATAGGGTGCTGGAGGCAGGATCCTGAGGCCTGGAACCATACAGAAGACAGAGGGGGCTTCTCCACTCAACAAAGGAGCCCTGTTTCAGAGTGAAGCAAATGCTTTCAGGCTGAAGTTTCAGTGAAGTGCAGATGGCTGAGAAAAGATCTCAGACTAATGAAGTGCTTGGAATAAAAGCTTTGGAGCAGAGCTTGCAAATGCAACCACCTTTGACTTGCCTCTTTCATTCTGGAGTTCAGTAGCTCAATAATGCACACAGTACAGGAGATCAAGGAGTGGGTAATCTTTGCAGCTTTTTGCTCATCAAAAAGGTAGTTTTTTAGTTTAATTTTTTTTAATATTTGGTTGCATTTGCAGGTCAGGAGTAATAAAAGATGCATAGTGACACTATTTAACACATTTTAATAATTTTATCTGGACCAGTAAAGCGTTCCTGCATGGCCTGTGTTTTAAGCTCCAAGGATGAATCTCTGAAGCCTGCCATGTATCATGCTTTTTCCAAAGCTGCCCTGTGTGTGTCTGGATGGCTTTTCTAGTTCTGCATCTGGATTTGCTGTGATGTCCTCAGCAGGACAAGCTGAGTGTGTGTGAGGCTGTAGTGGAGCAGGGATGAGTGTCAAACCCTCCTCCTTCCCAGCTCTCCCTCCTGCCCCGAGTGGCACAGGGAGATGGGAATGGGGGTTGTGGTCAGTTCATCACAAGGTTGTTTCTGTTGCTGCTCAGGGAGAGGAGTCAGAGTTCTTCCCTGCAGGGAATCCTCTCGTGGGCGACAGCTTTTCATGAACTTCTCAAAGTGAGTCCATCCCGTGGGCACCAGCTCTGCACACACTGCTGCAAGGTGGGCCAGCCCTTCAGCCTGGGGTCAGCCCTTCAGGCTGTTCAGCATCACTTACTTTGTAATCACCAGTTTCCTTTCATTAAATTATTCACTGCTTTAGCAGGGAGCTCCCTCACAGATAGTATCAAGGAGTCATTAACGTTTGAAAAGACCTTTAAGATCATCAAGTCAACCAAGATGTGCCTGAGAGTACTAGTGGAGACCAGTGCTCCAAAATTAAAACATTACCAATAAAAGGGGTTTTTCTGTGCTGAGGTGGTGTGGCAGCACACAGGTGATGGTTACTTCCCTCACCGTGGGATACTGAGTGTCAGTTAATGAAAGTTTGTAAAGGACTTCGGCAGAAAGGTGTTTTAACATTTTAATTTAATAGTTGTCTTTTTCTTTACTTCTGCAGTGCCAAGACAAGCTGTGCCCTGCTCTGATTCCCAAACCTGTGAGCAAATGGATTGCTTTGAGAATGGAAAGATTTGTACTCAAACAGGCTCCCAGCAGCACAGGGAGAGGTACAGAAATCCCAGATTTTTCCCATTTTTTGTTTGAAAACATTTAAAGGGAGCATGGTGTTGCTGTGAGTAGAATGAACCTGTCAGACCAAGTGTTACAGTTCTATATCCAGGAAATCCTGCAGACACCTTTCGTTTCTTCAGGTCCTCAGCCCAGGCCTCCTCATTCCAAGAGGTTCAGAGACACTGGAAACAGTGCAGGAATAATATTTTAATTTTATGTTGTTTTTAATTTTGGATGTTTAATGATATCAAAGGCATTCCAGATGATTGCAGAAACAGGAAATAATGGAAATGTTACTACCAGCAGTGGCTGTCAGGTGGCTGAGGCTGGCAGACCTGGCAGACGTCTCCGGAGGAAGAGAAGATTGCCTTTGGATTCGGAGGATGAGGAGGAAAATGCATATGAGGATGAGGTAAAGGAGTGCTTCCTTTAAGGAGAGCTGTGAAAAGCAGGGGCAGTTATCTCAGAGTCCCTTGTGCAGTGCCAGCTGGGCTGAGGGAGCTTGTTCTGTACCTAGGGAATGGTCTGGGTCTGATCCTGACTTACATCAGTGATGGGAATATCTGTTCTGAGGAGTCACAGGGGTGGATGAACAGCTCAGGTGAAGGGAAAGTCAGCAGTTCACAGTAATAACACCACGTCCCCAGAATAACTGCATTCAAATACTGTTGTGTGATATTGCAGATCAGTGTCAAACCACAGGGTTTGTTTGGGTTTTATTGCATACTTGCAAGTACTCTCACTGCACTACCATAAACCTGTATTAGTGGTGCATAACCAGCAGTACCTCAGTTCTGAGCTGACTTTCCTTCAGTTTCCTGCAGCCCCTAACCCCCTCCTGGAGCCCTGTGCTCTGCTCCTGCTCATCAGTGCCTCTCTGAGCCATTTTATGTTTATTCACATAATGCAGGGTTCTGTATGGCAGAACAGGGGCAATAAAGCTGCAGCCTCAGCTGTCATGAGCAGTTTAATTCATGGTCTTGCTCAGCTTTTCTCTGGGATGTGGGTGAGATGTTTTAAGGGATGGATGTTTCCAGAAGTCCTTGCAGTCTTTCTCTTCCCCCTTCTCCTCGTTCTCATTAGAAACTGTCCCCCTGTCCCTTCTGGGGAGTGTTTGGCAGGCAGCTTTGTATGGCACACTTTGCCTGGTTTTGGTTTGCTCTGAGAAATGATGGCCTGGGAGGAATCAAGCCCGAGTTTGCAAACACACAGAAGAGATGGGAATGAGGGTTGGGCGTGGAATGTGACACAGAGAGACCACATTGTCTGGGGTGCTCATCTATGACAGGAGTTCCTTGAAGCCTCTGCTTCCTTCAGGGCTTCATAAATTCCTTTTTTCCCCCCTGTATCCATTCCCTGGCATAGATGGATGTAAGAAAGGGAAAGGAAAAAGGACTGTTCCAGTAAGGCTGCTGATGTGAGCAGCAAATCCTGCATTGCAGAAAGCAAATCCTCTGTATTGTAATGGAGATTTTGGTCCTGTGCTGCTCTTTAACATTTAAATGAACTTCAGTAGCATATATTTAATAACTTGTAAAGCACTTTGGGATACCAAGATCAGCATTATCTGTGTAACAGTCCCTCCTGATGTTCTTTCAGGGTTGTTAAAGAGGCAGCAATGCTGGCTAGCAGTCCTTTTAGTAACCTGTTACATCCCTATTGTACCTGCATTGTGAGATGATCGGAGGGAAGGAAAAACAATCTTGCTAAACTTCTTTTTAACATATCTGTGTCTAGGAGAAGAATAAATCAAATAATATGAAAAGCCGCAGAAACACTAAACCAATAAAACAAGGTGAGCTAAGCTCATAGTCTCTTTTCTTTAATGTTTATAGATTTTTTTAGTAGCTATTATAAAGTGAATAATAATAAACAGAAGAATAAAGGACAGGAGAGCTCATTTCACATTCAGAACAGCTTATTGCGTCCATAACCCTCTTACCACTGTCAGCTTCAGAGATGTATTAGCAGGAATATCCTGGATTTGCCTGCATAATGGACACAGGGTAAGGATCTGGAAGGAGTCAGCTTCATCCAGAGCTCACTGAAGATAATAAGAATCTTTTTTTCATTGACTTTGGAGAGCTTCAGTCACAGCCTAGAGTGCTAAGTAAAAAATAAATTGTAAACAACGTTATTGATTGTAGAATATGAGTTAAATGTGTTATATACCTTAAATCAGTCAGTATGTAACTGGGGGGGAGAGTTTTAATGTACATTTAGAATGTAATTTTCTGTGTGTATGACTGTGGTTCTACCAGAATGAATCCAAGTTGTTTCCATCATCTGGGAGCTGCCTCTCTAGGAGATGCATTGTATTATCAGGAGGTTATAAATATATGTGTGTATATAAAAAAATATTGTCAAAAAATCACTTGATTTTTAATTTATTTTATTTTAGGCTTATTTTAGCGGCAATTATGTGCCTCTCTGTGCTGCCTGTTAGTTTATATTTAACCCCTTATTCCTCTGTGAAATGTCAGGAGGAGGAATTCATTCCCACAATTTGAAGTTTTTCTGTCTTGTCCAGACCCTTCCTTGGCACCTTTCCATGGGCAGCTTGCCAGCGGTCCAGGTGCCACAGTTCATTTGACCTGTGATACAATAAATTTTCATTTCCTGAGGAACGAGCATCGTTTTCCTGTTGCTGGACTTTCCAAAAGCAAGCAAAAGCAGAGAAGGAAAGCAAAACCTTTCCTCAGAAGTTGAGTAACACTCTCTCTTCTGGGCTGCCACCGCAAACAAGGGAGGAGGAGGAGAAGAGAGGAGAAGCAGAGCAGGAGGCGTCAGAGAGAAGCGTTCATTTTCTTGTTGTTTTTGATTAATTAGTGCTTCCTGGAAAGAAGAAGGTATGGAACTGGTCTTCCTACTTGGAAGAGGAACAGATGCCAGCTGCTTCCCTAAAGCTGTTCAGAGAGGTTGGCAGCTTTTTTCACTCTCTTGCTGTTTTTCTCAGGCAACATTACAGGGTTACTGGCAGTCACAGGATGAGGTGGGACTGCAGACCACCCTTAAGCCTGCACTTGTATTTCTGAGTTGTTTTGGTACAAGTAGGCCAGGGAAACAGGCATTTGCCCTGGGCATCTCATCCCAAAGCGGGGTGTACAAAATGCTGGTTGAATCCCACAAATGAGCAGCAGCTGTTTGGATCTGCTCTCCTCTGGCCCAGTGGCTGTTAGGCTGGAGAGGGACAGCCTGCTGTCTGTCCCATGTCCTGTGGGGCTGAGCAGAGCCCTCCCAGCCTGTCCTGTGCTGCCCAGACAGTGGTGTGGGCACGCTGGGAGTGCCAGGAGGGAGGGTGGGCTTGTGTCAGCCACATGGCAGTGCCAGAGGCCTGGTCCAGCCTCGGTGAAGCTGCCTCTGCACCCAGGTAAATGTGCAGCTCCCAGTGAGCTCTGCAGAGCCCAGGGCTGTTGGTCCTTCCAGAGGGAGCTTAAAAGGAAAGTCCAGTCCTGCACTGGGTCATTTGCAATCCCACTTCAGGGTGCTTTTAAACTTTTGCTGTATTTCAACTGTCTCACTTGCATTAAGACTGCAGATAAATGAAAAGCACAAAAGTTTTCTGGAATAACTGTAAAACTGGGCTGCAGATCAAGCCTGCCTTGTCCCTTTCGCCATTTGAAGTTGACAAGTTACCTTTTGGTGGGGGTCTGGACTGACACAAAGTGATTGTGGCTTTCCCAGCTCTTTGATTCTGCACTGAGCTGGGAAGGGGATTCTTTTGTGTTTGAGAAGAGCTCATTTCTGCATCTGCTCAAAGATGCGCTCGTAACTAATTGCAACAGTGCAGTGGTTTTGAGAGATTAATTAGAATAACGAGTAAATGTGAAATAAGGTGATGGTGCCCTTACTGATCCCTGAGCCTGCAGCTGTCTGTTGGAGCCACAGTCACTTGGGGTGGGATTTTCTTCTCTGAGTTGAGCTTTTGAAACCTGAAATATAAAAATTGAAGCCTTAAGTATGTTGTGATTGCTCTGCAATAAATTTTGCCTTTAGGAATTAAAAACAAATGTTTCTTCCCCCCTCGCAGTATCAGTCATTCCCGCAAGGCCGAAATGGATTTAAAGTTGGAATGAAATTGGAAGGGGTGGATCCTGAACACCCCTCTCGATTCTGTGTTCTCACAGTTGCTGAGGTAGTTGCTTTTCTTGTCTTTGATTCCAAAAGTCCCATGTACATCTGGAATTATTTCTTTTTTCAATAAAAAGTAGAAACATAAGAGTAATAGTGCTTTAGTTAGTTAATTAATGCTGACACTGAAGGAAAGGTGTTATGTAATTAAGGGTCTTTGCCTGAAATCCTACTGGCAGATTTTTGCACTTGTAACTAAGAATAGCAAACCTATTAATTGCCTGTAGTGAACGAGTATGAAAAAGAACAATGCCACACAATGCCACAAGGCCCCAAGATTTAGTAAACATAAACAAGTCAGAATGCATTTATGCAGCTTCAGTTATGTGAAATCTGGGTTGATCTGGTGTAGACATTTAAGTTCTGGGGATGCTTTTGTACCCCAGGAATGTGTTCATGGCATGGAGCAGGGGCTCAGGGAGGTTCCACTGACCAGTTCTATTTCCAGCTGTTTGAAGTGGGGAAAGAGGAGCATGGAAACTGGGAGAGCAAATAAGTTATAGTACAGCTAGAGTTTCTGAGAAAGAAATGAGATCCCAAGTTACTTTCTCTGTAAGTGCAGACATGAGGGAGTGTTTCATAAGTGATTATTTTTCTCCTTTGTGACCCTTGGCGATAATCAGAGCTTCTCTCCCTGTAGGTCCAGGGGTACAGGATGCGACTGCACTTCGATGGTTACCCAGAGTGCTACGACTTCTGGGCTAATGCTGATTCCTCAGACATCCACCCTGTGGGCTGGTGTGAAAAAACAAGCCATAAGCTGCTCCCTCCTAAAGGTATGACAGAAAATAGAGCGGTATTTGGGATATTGGGAATTAGGAGAAACCATAAATTCCTTGCTACGATGTCCTGGCTCTGCATATTTCATTTTTAGTGTGATTTCATCGTGGAACTTGATCTGAGGGGCTAAAGGGAAGAGGTTTAACTAACACAGTGACTCACAAAAGAGCAAAATATCTTCTCTGTGACATTCCTAAAGACTGACATTGTTAGTTACAGCAGAAACTCTGGATTGAATGTCTCTCTGTGCTTCAGAACATACTTATTTTCTGCATTCAGTTCTTTCCTGCATTCAATTTCTAGAAACATTTGAAGGTTGAGATTAATGATTGGACATTATAGCGAATAAGAGAGAGCTGGTTTAGCTGAAATGCACAGCCCCTGGAGATCATAGCAGGGTAGTTTTCATGAAAAGTTCATATTCTTTCCAGGTAATTTCCACTTCTGAAAAACCCCCAGAATGTACCAGGGCCATGTAAAACAGTCTTTTTTCTCTCTTCCTAGGTTTCAAGGAGGGAGAATTTAATTGGACTTCCTATCTGAAGAGCTGCAAAGCTCAAGCAGCTCCAAAAAGCCTTTTTAAGACCCTCAGCAGTGTAAGTGGTGATGTGGAATAGAAGGGGTTTCAATAGGTCTGGTGCTAAGTGAGTTTTGACCAGAATATTTATGTGGTTTTAATATGCTTATGTCAGAGGTACAGCCATGGTACAATCAGATGCAAACTACTTCGTGCTGTGTTTTATTTTTTAGAAAGAAAATTAGTACAATTTTTCTTCCTTTCCCCAGTCACTGACATTCCAGAGAAAGAATTTGTATTTTCCTTCCTTCTTAATGCTGGAGGAAAAGATTTACTGAACCATTTATTAAATATATTACAACCGTCTGTTTTACTGTGCCCCTACAGTCAAGATATTTGTGTCACTTTCATGTAATTTAATAATTTCCAAAATAATTTCTGGATACCAGCAGCATGCTCATGTGTGCCGTGCGATTCACTATGGGGCTGTGGATCTTGAGCTTTTGTCATCCTTCCAAGAGAGCATCCCAGTGGTGCTCTCTCAGTTCCTGTGAAATCTCCATCCCATTCCGTGTTACTGGGATGGCACGAAGCCCTCAGTGGGTGGATTGGAGGCTGCACATGGACAGTCACTGCCTCCAGCAGGATCAGGGCCAGCTCTGCCCTGCTTCCCACTCAGGCACTTTGTCTCCTTGAAGGCTCCCCTAACTTTTCCACCAGTAAAACAGGATGTGCAATGCCCATTATCCTCAGCAAATCACTGCAGGGTGTCTCAGCCTGGGAGGCTGCAGTGGTCAGTGTACCTGGAAATTCTGGTTTTTGAGCCACATTAGCTCTTTTTTAGTAATAGTCATTGCCAGAACTCATGGAAAATCCTGTCTGCAAACACCTTGATAGTCACTGTAGCGTGTTTTGTTCTGTGGGTTTTGGGATCAAAGGAGTTTATAATGGGGATTTCAATGGCTTGATCAAGAATGTGGCTGATTTCTCTTTCCTGGTGTCCTGTTCCTTAGCCTGTCACACCTTCTGGGTTTCGTCTGGGAATGAAACTGGAGGCAGTGGACAAGAAGAACCCATCCATGGTTTGTGTCGCCACCATCACAGACATGGTGGAAAACCGGCTGCTGATCCATTTCGATAACTGGGATGAGAGCTATGACTACTGGTAAAAGACTCTATTGCTGATACATGGCTGAAGGTAGACTGGCTTTGTTTTACATGCAGGCCCTAAAGCTGGGATCTTATATCAGTTTTCAGGCATCTGAATAATTACTTGGGGTTTTCACAAAGAGCCAGTTGCCCGGTAGTTCCCTTCCCATTTGTGTGCTGGGCAGCTCAGTGCAGAGCCAGTGGGGGTTGCCTGAGCTGGCTGGGAAGCACTGGAGGTAAGAAAACTTGTGGTGCCTGAAGGGGCTCCAGGAGAGCTGGGGATGGTCTTTGGACAAGGGATGGAGGGACAGGACACAGGGAATGGCTCCCAGTGCCAGAGGGCAGGGCTGGATGGGATATTGGGAATTAGGAATTGTTCCCTGGCAGGGTGGGCAGGCCCTGGCACAGGGTGCCCAGAGCAGCGGGGGCTGCCCCTGGATCCCTGGCAGTGCCCAAGGCCAGGCTGGACAGGGCTTGGAGCAGCCTGGGACAGTGTCCCTGCCATGGCAGGGGTAGAACAGGATGGACTTCAAGGTCCCTTCCAACCAAACCATTTCAAGATTTACTTTGTATTTCCCTTTCTTTTGGGACAGCTTGAATGCCTTGAAAACCCAGTGTTACACATTCTAACGAGGCAGTGCTTGTCTTCTACACCGTGATCACACCCACTGAAAGCATCTGCTCACCCAGCAAAGGCCTATCAGACAGCATTTGAAATCCTGCCTTTCTTTTTGCTTTCCATCTGACTGGTGCCAACTTTCCTTCTTTGGTACAGGTGTGAAACAAGCAGCCCATATATCCGTCCTGTTGGCTACTGCCAAGAAACTGGAACCCCACTGACAACACCACCTGGTAGGTTGCGAGCGAGACTTACTTTCTGCCTCAGCCAAAAAACCTGCAAACTGTATCTTCCACATAATTACATATTTGCAACTTCCAGGTTCGCTTCAGAACTCTTTACTGCCTGAACAATATTGTTGTTCCTACTCTTTGCCACTGCAATTTATGTTGTTTCATAGTTCATTGAAGAAATCTGTCTCGGTTTGAAAAGACAGATGTCTGCTAAGGAAGGCAGGAGTATCCCTTGAAATGAAAAATGTAAACCACCCCCCTCCTATTGTAATTTTGAAATTAAAGGCCTCTCAGGCAAAGATACGGGAATAGGAGTAACAGTTCTTTATTAAGAAAAAATAAAAATTAAAAGAAAATATAAAAATAAAAATGCAGTAATACAAAACAAAGCCCTGCCAGAGTGCGAGCAGGCCCTGGCACGCTGTGGCTCAGGCTGGTGTCCCAGCCCCATGCCATGGGGGCTCAGCCCTCCTGCAGTGCCAGCTGTGGCTCTGCTGCAGCAGGGATCCTGCACAAGGGGGGAGTTTTCCTCTGCAGCTCCAGGGCTGCTGCAGATGGGCCTGGGCTCCCTCTGGCAATGCAGGGCAGCAGAAAGCTGCTCCTCTGGCAATGCAGGGGGCAAAGGCTGCTGTGCTGTGCCAGGCTCAGATTGGATCCAGGGAGGAATGCTTGGCTCCTGCCCTGGGCGCAGCATCTCCCCATGGGATGCTGGAATTGGATCAGCCCTGCAGGGACACTCAGTGGCCATGGAGAGCAGAGATCTCCTGAAGGGAGGATTGGCTGTGGGAGAGATGAAGAGAACTGCCCCAAGAACAGCAGAGAACTGCCCCAGCTCTGACAGGTGGGGACAGAACACACAGCCCCAGACACATCTTGCAAGCTAGGACAAAATGGAGCAGGGTTTGGTAATTTATAATTGAATTTGATTTTAGAAGCGAGAAAGTGAGAAAGATTTCCAGCATTTCCTTCAGGGTGAGCTGGGAGAAAAAGGGATCTGTACCATGATTTCCTAGATGGAATTTCTGGAAATCACAGAATACTCTGGGTTGGGAGGACCCACAAGAATCATTGAGTCCAATCCTTAAACGAATGGCCCATACAGGGATTGAACTACGGCCTTGGCATTGTTAGCACCATGCTCTAATGATTTCCTAGATGGATTTTTTGGAAATGAAGGAGTAACTGAATCCACATCTTTTTCTGCCATACTGGAATTTGGTACCTGAAGAGAATGTTGGCAAATAAGAGAGGACAGAACGTACAGGGAAACCAGTGTTGTTTTCAGGCCTTGGAAGTGCTCATTCAGCTTAAGAATAGCAAATATAAAAAAATCAAGCCTGACATTTGTCAGACTGACAGCCCTGGAGCAAGAATTCCTGTAGTTGTTGTGTTCCAGGTTCAGTGGAGCAGGAAGCGCTGCCCGATCCCTCTGCATGGGGGGAATTGGCCTCAGTGTCTTCACTGTTGATGTGGAAGGGTTTGTGAACATTCCCTCATCTGTCCCTGCTCCTGGAAGGTTCAGCAGGGCTGGGCTCTGCAGTTCTCTGCTCACATCAGGATTTCCTGTGCCCCCACAAAACCTGCAGCCAGTTCTGCTCTCTCTGCTGAAGGACTTAGTGCAGCAGTTTGCAGACTGTGCTCTGCATTTAGTCACTGCACCCTCCTGCCAAAAAGAACCTGTCCTGGGGGTAAACATTACTGAAATAGGAAAAACGTGGAGCAGTTTCTTACATGTAATTGCCAGGGGGAGACATGGCACTGTTGTTAGAGCAGCACACCCGTGGAGCCTTTTCTCTCCGGGCTGCTGGGTTCACTGAGCCTGGGTGAGCAGGCAGCAGGAGAGGAGAAGGTTCTGCAGTCTTACAGGTGCTCACACAGAGAGTAGTTCATAAACCAGGAAATTAACTTGGTAATGCCAATGCACATCACAGAATCATCTGACTAGCTCACAATTGGAGTTTTCTTTAGAGGGTAAGAATTGATAAAGCTGTGCAGAAGTGAACTCGCAAGGGTTCAAGCTCCCAGTTTTACACTGGGGAACTGCAGAGCTGCTCTGGGTGCTGAAGGTGGTGGGTAGGAGCAAACAGGCCACTTCACAGGACCATCCATTGTAAGTGATCATTACAGTGTCACAGAGCTGCCTTTTTGCTGTTTGTAACAGTAAATGTGGGGTTTTTCTTACAGAAATGTTTATTCTCTGTTTTTTCAGGACACAGGGATTCCAAAGCCTTCTCATGGGAGAAATACTTGGAAGAAACTAATTCCCAAGCAGCTCCTGCAAGAGCCTTTAAATTGGTAGGTGAATGTCTTTGATTGCTCTTGCTCAGGTGCTGTTATCCACCGTTTTTTGTTAGAGGCTTTATTTGAGCATAGTTCACCTTATCTGTGCGAGGAAGGTGAAACTGTGGTTAACTTTGAGTTTATGATCATCTCAATGCTGCTAAAACAAAAACACAGAGCAAAACACAAGATTTTTTTGTTTTTTGATACTATGGAAGGCTGGCTTCGAAAGGATTTTTGACTAAGTATCTTCATTAGCAGATTTAAGGGCAGAGCCTTCAGGCCACAGTGGCTTCCAGAGGTTTGTGGGAAGTGCCTGATAGAGGGCACAGAGATGAGAAAGAATGCAGTTATCTGGTGTCCCCTCTACATGAAGTTTTAAAACCCTTTCTAAAATTCACCTTGCAGTTATGGAAATCTGTACTTCCCTGGCTAGTGAGGCTGGAATTAAGGTAGAGAAGTTCATATCAAGGATTTATGTGTGCTGATACAGATCATGGTCCTTCTGGGGAGGAGCCAGCTGTGCCCTCCACAGAAATAAATGTATTAACAGATGAAAGAGCATCTCTGCCAAACCCCTAAGACCATCTTACAGACTCAGTGTGAAGGTGCTTCTCTCAACCTTGAGACAGTGAGTTTTGTTTCTTTCATTGCAGTTCAGTGTGTTTATCTGGAGTCTCACTGTGAGCAGAAACAAACCAAAAGCCTCTAAAATGAGTGTACTTTTAATTTGATTTTTCCCCTTCCACGCTGCTGGCTCACCTTGCTAGACTTTGCAATATGTTTAAAAACTCTTCTTTGCCATCGTGACGCTTGTCTTGGTTCCTTTTTCTGAAGTGGGAGTTGCAGGTTAATACCTGCTGCCCTCCTGTGTATTTCTGTGGAAAGGTCTTTGGGACTGAGAAGGAAAATCAATCAGGGAGGCCTCAGATAAGAGAGGCAAAAATTCAGCGAGACAGGTTTGATAATTGCCAGGTTTCAGCAGGTGTCCACATGAGGTTGGTGCAGGCTGCAGAGTGGTGTCAGGGAGGTGAAAGAAGTTTTTGCCTCTTCAGAGAACAGTAGGGCTTTAACTGGAGTCATCTGCAGCACGTCTAAAACATCCCTGGCATTGAGGTTTCCCTTGGCTGGGAAGCACCTTGGAGCCAGGGGTGGGATGAGGAGTGGAGTCTGTCAGTGGGACACAGTTGCTGCCCCCAAGGATGGACTAAGCTTTTCTGAAATCCCAATAGAGCTGGAAAATGTGAACTCAAAACTCCCAGCCCAAGTCCTCTGTAAGATCTGCCATTGTGGCTTCTTCCCTGAGATTTTCAGGGTCTGAAGTGTGGTGAGAGATATCTGAACATAAGAGGCTTTGCTCAGGACAGGGAGCCTGTTCAGTAGAGAACTCCCTTCTTTGGATTCTTCCAAAGTGAAGTGTCTTCCCAAGTGGGATGCAGCTGCCTTGTCTGCCTTCTTTTCTGTTTTCCAGACATTCTTGCAGCCACTGTTCTGCTCCTTCAGGTATCAGGCTTTGGGAGAAGAGTAGAAAGACCAGTTCTGGCCCTCATGAAATTCCAGAGTGCAAATTAGCATCTAAAACTGTGTTTCAAAAATGAGACAAAAAAGAAAAGGTATTTGATATATCAGCAGTTAGTAGGACTATTTCAAGATCAAGCCTCGTTATTTTTTTCTGGCTTGGTTGGACTGAAGTGCAAATAAATGGCAAAGCTATTGATTTTTTAAAAATAATTATTATTATTCCAGCTAGCAATTACAGGAAATCAGTACATAAAAATGTGGGTTGAGAGCCAGAACAGGCATTTCTCACTGAATTAGCTTTTAACAATTTTAAAGAGCTGTCTTATGTAGTCTGGAGACGCAGGTCATCAGCACAAATAGCAGGTCTTGGGTCTGGATTTCTGCCCTCTCCACCCAAAACCTCAGGAGACAGCTCCAATGCAAGCATTGTTATTTCAGCCTATCCTCTTGGGCTGGCAATTTCAAAACATTCATAAGCTATTGCCAAAAGGGCAGCAACCCTTCAGCAAGGAGCCTGGCTCCTCTTCTGGGCAGGATTTGGACCTTGAACACTCAGCTTCTTCTTCAGGGAGGACACACAAGGTTGGCTGGTTCAATAAGATGCTCTTGAAAATAAAAGCAGTTTAGATTGTCTGTTTTGTGGTGTGTCCAGTGTCTGATAGATGTCTGTGTCCAGGTGAAATGGCCAAAGAGGAGCTTCAGGTGTGGAGTTAAACCCCTTAGCTCAGGAGTGCATCTCCTTCCTGCCCCCAGCCACTGCTAATAACAAGGGTGAGGAAGACTGGGAGGGAAGAGTGATTTTAATCATTTCATTAACTTGGTCATGTTCAAATAGACAATTTATCATTTCTTGCTAAAACCCTCACCTCTGTGTGCAGAAGCGAAGAGAGACATGTTTTGAATGAGCATCCATAACCTCCTGCTGAGAAGGTCAGAGGGGGAATTTGCAGTCAGATAAATGGAAAAATTGGTAAAAGCTGTCTATTGCTCAGAGGTTACATAGGGTGCACACATCAGGTCAAAGAACATTCTGGAGTTTTCCCAAAGTCTTCAGGGTTTGAGGAAAAGGGTGAGTGAACATTTGCAGAGGAGGCTCCAGGGCCAGAGCTGCTGTGAGCCCCAGCACAGCAGCTCCCAGCAGTTGTTCATGAGCAGCACAGGTGTTGTCATAGGGAGCAATCTGTGTAGTGAGGATAACTGATAGCCTGGAGCTGTAGCTGATGCCAGGGAGGATGTAGGGTAGTGAAGAGAGGCTTCACCCAGTGGTGTGTTGAGATGTGAAAAGTGGAGAACTGGCCACTGTCCTGACTGGTGTGACATCACAGAATAGTCAGCTTGGAAGAGAGGCTAGAGGTCATCCATTCCAACCCCCTGCCAAGGCAGAGTCACCTGGAGCAGGTGACACAGGTGGGTTTGGATTTTGCATCCAGGTGGGTTTGGAATGTCACCAGAGAGGGAGACTCCACACCCTCCCTGGCCAGCTGTTCCAGTGCTCTGCTAGCTCCACGAAAAGTTCTTCCTCATGTTGAGGTTTTAGTGTTTTCTTTCAGGGCCATTGCTCCTTTTCCTGTCACTGGGCCCTGCTGGAGAGTTTGGCACCATCCTCTGACACTTGCCCTGGAGATATTCACATGGACTGCTGAGATCTCTCCCTTCTCAGTCTCCTCTTCTAGAGAAGACCATGTCCCTGCTGTGTGGGAGGTGTGCTGTCAGCCTGGGCAGGCTGTGTCAGTGGAGCCACTTGTGGTGCTTCCTGGCCTTTTGTCTGTGAGGGAAGGGTCTCTTGTTGTGGCTGGGACAGCTCCTCTGTGTTGAGCCACCTCAGGCTGCCTCTCCTGCAGGTTGGGGCTGCTGACAAACACTCAGCTAAGTTCTCTTGGGTACTCTGATTTTAACCTCTTGGGAACTCTGATTTTAGCCTCTGAACAATCTGCCATGTGAGGTAACCCAAAGCTCCAAAGGCAGCCAGGGGTGGATGGAAACTGGAGCAGATTTCATTCAGAGCAGGTGCCAGCTCTGAACTCCAAGGCTTTTTAGCATTCTGCTTACAATCCTCTCTTGCAGCGTCCTCCTCACGGATTCCAGGTTAATACCAAGTTAGAGGCTGTGGACAGACGAAATCCCATCTTGATAAGAGTGGCAACAATCACTGACAGAGACAACCACCGTGTTAAGGTATGACCTTGCTGCCAAGTGCAGAGCCTGTGCTGAGCACCCTGGGATGGGCAGTGCAGGGAAAACAACACCTGGGAACAAGGAGCAGCAAACAACAGCCTGGCAGCTGCTGTGGCCTCAGGGCCTGCCCAGCTGGAATTGGTTCCTGTTGCTTTGTTTTGCTGAAATCTGATGGAATTGGCCTGGTGTCAGTTATTGTTCTAATGTAACTGTTTTGAACTAACACCCAACAGTGCCATGTCCCCTCTCTTGGCATATTCCCTGTGATCTCTGTGACTGATGGCAGCAGGAGTGTTCTGCTGGGGAAGCTGCCTAACTGCGTTTTTTTCCTACCAGGAAAGGGAAACCCAAAGCAATTTAAATCCCGCTACACGTGGGAAGCAGCATCATTCTCCAGTACAAATTTGTCACATAAATGCATTTTAACCTAGTCTTTTCATGCAGATATATTACCCAAATAATCTGTTGTGCTTTGGTTTCTGAGAAACTAATATGAGCCAGCTAAAGTGGAAGCTGCACTGATGGAGACTCCATGGCCACAGATCTCCTTCCTAAAGGATGATTACATGGGCAGGAGTGGAGTTCACTCCCCATTATCTGGCTGGTTTTGAGTCTCATTGCTGTGAACAAAAGCCAAGCTTTGCCAGTCCATAGTGGCAAGATACTCAATTCATACATTGAAACCTTCCTGCATGAACAACCCAGTAGCCTTTAAACTCCAGTGATCCTCAGTCTCTGTTAACCTGACCTGGATCTGAGTTACTGCAGTCTCTTCATCCAGCAGAAAATTGCAGCTTGTTCACTGCAGAACTCACCAAACTTGTTGGCTTTTATGGTATTTTGGGGTCCACAGAAAACAAAACAAATAAGCATTTGTGTTTGCATAGCTTTGGACTTTGCGTGTTAGAGCATCCCACGGGCTGTGGGGTGACAGACTGTGTCACCAGAACCTGGTTATTCTGTGAAACACAGATGCAAGAAAACAGAGTTGGACTGAGCACAGAGATGATTGCGCCTGACTGAAAAATTGATCTGAAAGATTGAATGAATCAGCCCCAAGCTGAGCAAGGTGAAACAAAGGGGGAAGTTAACATAAGAGCTGAGTCATGCCCTGAACTGTGTCTTTCCCTGAGACTTCTGCTTCTTTCAGATACATTTTGATGGCTGGGACCATCACTACGATTTCTGGGTGGATGCAGACAGCCCTGACATCCATCCTGTAGGCTGGTGTGACAAAACTGGACACGCTCTGCAAGTTCCTCTAGGTAAATACAGCACACAGCTTTTGTTATGCTGGATAATTTCCTAAGTGCAGTCTGCTCCTCGTGTGCAAATCTGTTTGTCTTCCCTTTTTTTGCTGCTCTCAGGTGCTGAAGATGCAGAGGGAGCAGTGGGGCAGGCGTGTCCCACTCCAGGCTGCCAGGGCATCGGGCACGTGCGGGGCCCCCGCTACGGAACACATTACACGTATGTAGTGACAATGATAGCAGCTACAACCACAGCAACAACAATAGTAACTATAATGATGCTATAATGATGCAGCACCAAGCAACTGCACTGCACTGAAATGATCTCAGGCTAGTTATTCTGGAGATAGCTATAACTGCAGTCGCAGCTCCCTCTTGTGTCTAAGCAGGCTGTTTGATCATAAATTTTGTTTATACCACTATAATCATGATAGCTGCAATGCAAACAGATTCATTCGCTCCAGATTCTACATTCCAGCAGTACTGAAGGAGTTATATTTGTGAAATAATATACCCAAGAACAACATGCAATGAGACAGTTAAAGAAGAGAGGGCATGGCAAGGATGTTAAAGTATAAGTGAGGAGAGGTTGCTTATGTTTTGTGCTCTGCCTTTTGATTTCTTGTCTGCTCTTGGAAGAGGAAGCTTTTTCTCAAGTAAATTATTTTAGAAGCAAGAAAACAATCTCAAGTGGAAGGTCAGAAGACCTGGTAGTTTATAATACAGCAAAGGGCTTTGAATTTTTCAGACTAAAAGTTGCAGAACTCTGTTGATTCATGAAATGTTGTTCTGATAAGCAAGTTACGGAGGATGAATTCTTGTCCTCTGTGCTGGCTCTTTAACAACACGACTTTGGGTTTTAATTCTGCCATATGGTCCCCTGCTTTCTCACACCTAGAGCTGGATAACAGCATCTCCTGAGATGGCCTCCTTTTTACTGGGTTTGTGATGGATTTCTCTTCCTGAGGTAGGGAATACTGTATGACTGAATATGACTGTAAAGCGCTCATTGTCCTCTCTCGTTTTTGTTTCTCCATCACAGCTTAGTTGGCTGCCCATACTCTGATGTGAACCTGAGCAGAGAAAACCTCTTACAGGACCGGCTGAGTGGGGAGAGACCTTCCCCTGGGAGCATCCTGCAGAAAGCCAGGAGGCTGGAGACCCCTGGCCCACTGCAGGCAGCAAGGGAGGCTTCTCAGGACGACTCCTCACAATCCAGGTGAGCTGCATTGTACTCTTGGCCGGGTACTGGGGAGCAAAACCATTTACAAGGGTGAAAACCACTGGAATTGGCAGCAACACAGTGGAGCATTGAGTTTATCTGTCTGTAATATTGACGTGTGCCCCAGTAACTCTTAACACAGAGCAGTGCACTTCTATACCCTCATATGCCTTAATAAGTTTCTTGATTCTTTAATCCTGGTGCTCTGGTCACATTCCAACAAAGGAAATTGCATTCTGTCTCTATAACTTTTTCCTTGCTGTTTCAATTTAAAATATGTTCTTTTCCTTTGTTTCCTGTCCTAAAACTGTCAAGCCAAGATTATTTTGCACTATTAAACTGTAACTGTGATCCACTCTGGGTCAGCTGAGCACTCTGTGTGTATCACTTAGCAGCAGGCAAGCTGAGCACTCTCAGATACTTTGCTTTCTCACAAGAAAATCTTGCAACTGAGCAGCATTGTGGAAAGGAAACTGTGCCTTGGTTCTTGGAGTGCAGGAGTCAGCTGAACGTGTCATGGGACAGACCAGAATATGAAGGATTTTTTAAGATCATTTTTAGTCTTCACAAATCCAGTCTCACTAGGGCAAACTCCAGCAATACTTTAATTTTTTGTTGTATGTGAAGGCTTATCTATATTTTAAAGTTCATCTATTTGTTGAGATTTATAACATTTCCAAGATCTATTTGTTCAGAAAAAAGGAATGAATGCCTCTTTCTCCTCCCTAGCCTTCATGACCAAATTGCTTCCTCCCATCCTACAACTATGCAGGCATCTTCATTCCCTGATTTCCACACCAAAATTGGTTGCATTTCAATAGCACTCTTACCATAAAGCTCTCCGGAGATTTTGAATTCTCACAGAATAATTGGGAGATAATTCTCACAGAAGAATTGTAATATATTTCTTTTCTTCTAAGTATTTAATTTCCTCATAGTGGGGTGTCTGAATTCAGCCTGTAAGTCTGGTATTATCCTGCTGCTTGGCCTCCCTTGGCCAACTCTGTAGCTCAGTTTATGCATCAAACTTAGTAATGGAAACTCTTAAATGTTATCCAGAGGTATCAAGATTCAGAAATGCTAAATCTCTTGCTTTCACCATAACACAGTGGTTTCCTGTAGCTGCTGGGATCAGAGCCTGAGTCCACAGAGGCTGATTTATTTCCCTTAAACTCTCTCAATCCTTGCAGAAGAGGAATAAAACACTTTGTACTCATGCAGGGAAGAGGAAAGTTCTGCCACAAGGTGGTGGTTGTTGCTCTCACTTGCTAGGAGCAGCCAGCTTTGCTCTCCTGTGGGAAAAGGGAACAGAGAATGTCAGCTCAGCTATTGTCATTTATCTGTCTTTGCAGAAAATCTGCACCAGACAGTGAGAAGTGGTGTCACAGCAGCATCCACACTCCATCAGAGCAATCAGAAGACAGTCGGGAGCGAGGCTGGGGAGAGGAGGATTCCTCTGCAGCCATCAAAGCCGCACCAAAAACGTAAACACGACTTTCGTGATGAATTTTCATGCATTAACTGTAGTGTTTCTTGATGCTGCTGCTGTATCTGAAATAAAGATGTAAATAGCAAACAGCCCAATTTGATTGAAGTTTTGCAGCAGAGTGTTTTAGAATGACATAGTAAGTCTCCTCCCTTCCTCCTGTTGTTTTGGGCCCTCTCTTTCCTGCTGTAAACTCAGATCTCAGTTCTGGCCCTGAATTTATTAGAACAGCCCTTATCTCAGAGAGATGTCAGGGATGAAGCTATTGCTTATTTTAAGAGGAAAAAGTTTTTTGTTTCTATAAATCTCATTTATCTTTGTATGGAGAAGAAATTACATTCATTTCTGTATCTTCTGAAATGTTTTGTAATTGTTGCTTTCAGGCTCGGGTGCTCACATGCCTATATCAAGTTTCAGCTGGTGAAACAGGAAAGCAATGGGAAAGGTTGGTTAAGTTTTATTCCTTCTTTCTGTGTGTGTGCCTATCTCTGCAATATCCCCACAGTCACAAGGAGCATTCAGAATTCACAGATTTTTTTGTCTTTGATTCCGCAGTCAAGAGAAAGCACATGCTGGAGATGATGGCATTTCCTTTAAAAGGAGGAGAAAGGGTAAAATTACTTAGAAGTGAAAGATTCAGTACTTTGTGGAGTGGAGCCTTGTATTTATTAATTGAGAAGACAAGTTTGCACTGGTCTTTGTGCCACTGCAAACTCCCCTGTAGTGACAAGGGGCTCCCAAACAGTCTGTGACCTTTGTCAGGCTGTGACAGAGCCAGCACAGGGCTCAAGGGAGACTTGCTCAGAACTTAGCAGGTAGTTTAAGTTCCATCAACCCCTTTTTTAAGAGCCTCATGGGTATTCAGAAACATATTCTGAATCATTGGAGGACTTTTTTAAGGTTCTCTTAAGGATTAAAAAGAAAATGAAAAGCTAAATGGAAAAACAGTGGTGTTTTTTTCCTGGTATGTGACAGGTTAAGTTATCAGAGCAGCTTTCTGCTATCACTTTAGCAAACCATATGCTTAACTTTCAGATTTACTATAAAAAGCCATTTCAGAGAACAGAGCTGACCAGGCTTTTAGGAGGATTTAAGATGGTAATAAGTCTCCAATCAAAAATAGCTAAGCAGGCACAAACTGGGACAGGTGCCTGGATGTTGGTTTTTTGTTGTTTTTTTTTTTTTTAATACTCATTTTTACCTAGTGCTGAGTTCTGCAGACAGAGCTGAGGGATCTGCTAGCTCCAAGCTGCAGTTGCAGCTGGCAGGGAAAGCTGCCCACTCTCCCTTCACATTCACCTTCCATGGAGTGATGGAAATCAACGGAGGGAAATGCAATCATCCACTGACCTGCAATTTCACAATTACCCAGAGCTTTCCTCTCAGCTGTGTTTAAACTATGAGATCACTACTTCTTTGTCAGAGGGAAAGTCACTTGTCTAGGTCATGGTTTGGGTGCTTAGTCCAAGGATTTGTGCTTAGTGGAGAAAAGGAATTGGTTTGAGATGGAAGTAATGCCCACCCAGCAGGAATGTGGCAGTGGGGGAGACCTTGGGCACAAGTGGGACCTCCTGGAGCAGGAGGTGGAGACAAGGCCAGGTGCTGTCTGTCCCCACCTCTGCAGCAGTGCAGCAGGGAAGGAACGGGTAACAGCCCTCTCATGGAGCAGGTCCTGTGCCCTCTTTCCACCAGGAGCTCCTCAACTGAGCAGTTCTTACTCAGGCTTTATTTATCCTCCCTTGGTTTCATTATTAGAAATTTGATGCTGTATCATGACCAATAGGGATGTGGAGATGAGATGAGCTGAGTGGGCTCTCGGGCCAGGGCAGTGACTGTTCCCTAGGACAGGCCTTACCTCCAGAGCTGCTTCCCCTTCAGCTAGGGGGCAGCTGGCAAGCCCTGGGAATCTGCTTTTTCTTTGTATTTCTGCCATTTTCCTCTGTGCTTTCCACGTAGTGACTGCTTACCCCCCACATCCTACACCTCAGCCCACTGAGAGCTGCTGAGCAGGGGCAGCAGAGGCAGAGAAGCTGGGGCAGCAGGAGCAGCAGAGGGGCAGAGGTAGCAGGGGCAGCAGAGGCAGCAGGAGCAGCAGAGGGGCAGGGGCAGCAGAGGGGCAGTAGGAGCAGCAGGGGCAGCAGGAGCAGCAGAGGCAGCAGGAGCAGCAGGAGCAGCAGAGGGGCAGTAGGAGCAGCAGAGGTAGCAGGGGCAGCAGGAGCAGCAGGGGCAGTAGGAGCAGCAGAGGTAGCAGGGGCAGCAGGAGCAGCAGAGGGGCAGAGGTAGCAGGGGCAGCAGAGGCAGCAGAGGCAGCAGAGGGGCAGTAGGAGCAGCAGGGGCAGCAGGAGCAGCATGGGCAGCAGAGGGGCAGCAGGAGCAGCAGAGGCAGAGGCAGCAGGAGCAGCAGAGGCAGCAGGAGCAGCAGGAGCAGCAGGAGCAGCAGAGGGGCAGTAGGAGCAGCAGAGGGGCAGTAGGAGCAGCAGAGGGGCAGTAGGAGCAGCAGAGCAGCAGGAGCAGCAGGAGCAGCAGAGGCAGAGGCAGCAGGAGCAGCAGAGCAGCGGCTGCTCCAGGCACACGGAGCCTTCCCGAGGGCTGGGATGCAGTGGGAATGCTCGGGGATGCCACGGGATGGCGCTGGGCAGCCTGCAGGGGTGGGAGGGGGTCGGGGGTAGCCCCCCCGTGCCACTGTAAACCAGAGGAGTACTTGCCAGCCTGCTCCCATCCCTGCCTGCCTTCCTGTTGTATAAGCAGGGACCGTGACTCTGCACTGCTCCAGTGATCTCATTAGGGAGGGGTGATTCCTTCCTCCCTTTTTTGCCTTGGTTTTCAGAGCTTCACTTACACATGAGGAGGGAGCTGATGTCTGGAGGTACCTTGAGCACTCCTGGCCTGGGAGTCTCCTGGGGAGTCAGCCCAGGCCATGCTGGCAGCACAGAGCTCTGGCTACAGCAGGGGCTGGAACGGTGCCATCAGTTCCCAGCTGAGGATGCTGTTACCAGAATTCCTCCACCTTGTCAATAAAACGCTGCAAACATCTTCTCTGTTAGCAGCATGACATCATTTTCCAGGGAAGAAGCTAACGATAAAGCCTCCAGCCTGGCAGTCTTACCTTTTTTTCCCCTTTCTCCTGCTTGGGAGGGAGAGAACGTCCTGAGAGCTCTGTGTGCCACACAGTAGCTGTGCCTGGCTCTGCTCACCCTGTCTTGCTTTCCCCTCCAGGCTGTGACCCTTCTTCCTGCTTTGTTGTAGTTGCTCCTACTTGAAGCCTGTCTCTGACTTACCTTGTTTCCCTTTTCAGGCCCTGATTTGGATCTCCAGCAGGCCCTCCACCAGTCTATCTTCATGCCTTCCCTGGCCTCTAACCCGAGCCATCGCCTCCACCTCTTCTGGGAGCAGCACTGCAGGCTCTTGCCGGAGGTCTCAGGCCTGACAGCCAAACAAGTTGCCAAATGGACTGTGGAGGAGGTGAGTTACCTGTTCCCTGCTCCACTCTCCAGGATGCAGGAGTGCCAGAGCACTCTTCCTCTGGAGGGCTTATTGGGAGACATCTTTGTTTCCTTCCCTCTCCCAGGCAGTGCTCTTCTGTTTGCTGTGTGTGTGCCACAGCTGACTCAGCTGGAAGTCAGACCCAAGACCCTTTATCAGGGAGGGGAAGTACCCCTGTTAACCCTCTGGTATCCACAGCTTATTGCCCTCAAAAGGATTTCCTCCCTCCCTCCCTCCCTCCCTCCCTCTGTTTATTTACCCCTTGACTTCTCAGTCCTCAGGCCTGAAGCATCATTCTGACAGCAGATTCCCTTTCCCTGATCTCCCTCCCCCTCTCCTGTGACTTTGCTGCTGATTCACTTTTACAGTGCAGAGAATTCCAAACTGCACTGTGCATGCCCACTCTGCTGCATCTCCCTGCCTGATTCCCTGGGAACAAAATGCCCACAGCCTGACCTGATTTCTGGCAGAGGTAGCTGTGCAGCTGGAGATGTGTCTCTGCAGCTCTTGAGATGTCTCCTGTAATTAGGTGGTGTGTGAAAAAGCCAGAGCGTTTTGTGTGCTGAGTAGTTGGTTTTTGCCTCGATGCCTTGGGCATAAATAATATTTCTCTCTGTGCTTGGGAAATGGTTATAATTTGGATCCTGGTGCTTAATTGCAGGGCATTTAATTCCAGAGAAGTGTGCTATAGAGTTGTGCTTGCAAGGATGCAGAGAATCTGCAAAGCAGGAAAAAGGTACTGCTGCCCATGATGCAGAGAGGATCTTCAGAGACTTTTAGAAAGTGCATTTTCCCTGAGTGCCTCTTAACATTGAATAAATCCTATCTTGACTTTGCTCTTCATGCTGGAGGAGTGGTAGGAGTCTGGTGGGATTTGCAGTGATGTGGGAGATGGGAACCACAGCAGCTGGAAAAGGGACAGAGCAATTAGTGCTGATGTTTTAAAACCTGGTCCTTTTTTGTGTTGAGTTGTTGTGGTTTGGTGGTAGTGTTGGGTTTTGGTTGTGTTTTTTTGCTCTTTTTAATAAAAATGTCTTAGAATTAAATTCATACTCTGGAGGAAAAAAAATTCTGAAATATTTACTGTTCCTGTCCTTTTGAGAAAGCTTCCAATGATTTTCCAAAAGGTCTTTTATGAAATCAATAAAGTCAGAAGCAGATAATCCTCTGACATGATAATCAAAATCCCTTTCTTTTGGATAAAACAGGAGGCTGCTTCATGGGAGTACAGTGTCAGGATCCAAGCCAAATAAAATTTGTCCTTTGCAGTTGACCTTTAAAGCAACTGCTGGGTAAATTTAACTGGGATATTAGTTTGATAACAGATGAGCGTGAGCAGGGACCACAGACATGGATGCAGGGCACTGGATATAGTGATTCAAACCCAGAATAAACTGAACTCTGCTGCAGCCTGAAACAACTGGGGAACTTTGGCTGCCAGTAGCAGTGTGAATGGCACATTAAAAAGCTCAGTTGCAGCACCACAATGTACTGGCTGAAATCATTACAGGTTTTATCTTGAATTTCAGTAAAGTGCTTCTGGTTTGAATTATGTTCATCACAAATTCCCAGAGGAGTCAATTTGGGTTCTCTCTGAGCACTTGCAGGATCAGCATGTGCAGTGCAATGTAGCCACAGATCTGGGAGTTGAAAGCAGCAGGACTTGCTGTGTTTTAGGGTGTCCAAAGTACATTTGGTCTGTCAGCATTTGGGCTCCCAACATCTTCCTGCAGGGCAAGCATTTGCTGTTGGGTTGTGCTTTGAACTCTGCTGCACAAAGGAGTCCTGTGCTGATCTGAAACAGCAGTCCAAAGGAGTCCTGTGCTGATCTGAAACAGGAGTGATGAGGGTGTAAAATTCTCCTTTGTTTTTAGGCTGAAGAACTGTTTTTATAATTTTATAAAGCCGACATTAAGGGAAAAAAAAGTTCCTTTAATTCTCTGCTGGTTGGGAGCAGCTGAAATGGCAGAGCAGCAGCAGCATTTAGGGGCCCTCAAGCTAAGAAAGTCGTGGTAACACTGAGCAGTCACTAAGAGTAGTTACTTCAATGCAGCTTTGGTATTTATTGAAAGCTTCCTGTCATGTTTTCAGAGCACAGACTATTGACTCGTAGAAGAACATCAAGATGTGCTAGAGTTGTATTGTTCATTAGTTAATCCTGCTTCAAATGCCAATACCCCGGGTGGGGGGACTGTCCTTGTGCCAAGTGTGAGTGGATTTCTGAATTCCAGTTAACCCAGTTCCCCTCTGTGGCCTCAGAGGGGCCGGTCCTGCAGGAGCTGCTGGAGGAGTGAGGTGTGGGGCTGCCTTGTCACCATCAGTCCTGTGCTGACCCCAGTGTGTCTGCCACACATCAGCACCTTCCACAAGGGTGGTGTCCAGTTTCCAGGGTGTTCTCAGGATTGCACAAAGCTCTTTTTCATGCCCTTTCTCTTCACCAATGTGCTTGGGGAATGTAAGAGTTTCCAGCAGGCAGTTTTGAGCCATGGGATGGTTACAGCAGGAAGGGCCAGCAGACTTTTACCTTTTTATAGAAAAGCTCTGATCCCACTGAGATGTTCCCTGTCCAACACCTGTCCCACCCTCACTTTGAGCCCTCCCTGTCTCAGCCTTCCCTGCCAGTATTGTGGAGTTGTGTTGGACTCCTGTGGTGTTTTGTTCTTGTGCTCCCAAGCTTCCCTCAGCTGCCCTGTCTTGCTTTGGGAGCCCTCCTCCCCAGCAGTGACAGCCAGGCAGGTCCCTGTGCCTCACTGGGGTCTGTCCCATGTCCAGGGTGCCTTCTCTCCCATTCTCTCCTCTTGCATCTTTCTTCCCTCTCTGTTCTCCATGCCTGGTAAAGCCCAGGGCTGCTGTTTGCTCAAGAGGCCTCTCCAGTGGTTGCAGTGTCCCTACAAAGGCCTTGGGGCAGATCAAAGGTTTGTCACTGCGTGTCAGTGACAGTAGCCAGCAGCAGCTGTGCAGGGAAGGATGCAGGAACAAGGCAAGCCCAGGTTATTCATTCCCTGGAGATGTCTGCCAGTGCCACAGACACTGAGGAGCACTCAGCTCTTGCCCCAAGGGTCCAGCTCTCTTGTCAATTCTCAAAGGAGCCAGACCTGGCAGAAAGACTTTCATTTGTGTTTTAATTGTTAGCAGACAGGGGGACTCAAAAGGAAAGCAGTGTTTTGGTATTGGTTATTAATAGGAGTTTACACTTCTGCAGAAGAAAATTTGGAGTCGCTGTCCAACAGGGATGTGGATTTTAGGGTTTGCCTTTAAGATGGAGCGGCAGAGGAGGACGAAGGAGGGGGATGCTCTGCTTTCAGGTTACATAACAGAAACCACAGGAGCCAGAGCTCTCCTGCCAGGGCAGAGCAAACCTGCAGAGCACTGTGAGAGCCCCGTTCCTGCCTGGCTGGAACTGCAGAGGAGGGATTGACTCCAAGTCTAGGGGTAGGATGATCTGGAGGTACAGGGATGTGATTTAGGAGAGACTTTGACAATTTTGAGTTGAAAGGAGCCTGAATCTGACAGTGACCCCTCCCAACTGCTTGTTTGTGTACAGGGAAGAAATGTCACATCTGCAGCAACTCACATGGTTACGCCTCATGAAGCAGAGCTGCTCCTGCAAGGGAGCATCCAATTAGCAGGAGATGTTTGATCTGATTATGCCTCAATATACAAATCTCCTGTGAACCAGTGAAGCTGCAGCTGGAGAAGACAATGCACATTAAGTCATCCTCGACTGCACACAGGGCTGCTCCTCACACTCCTTGGTGTTATGTAATGTAACCCCAGGGCTGCTTGCTTGAGTCCAGGGAGATTATTCCAAATGTTAACAGATTCTTTGCCTAGAAAGGTTTTCCCTAATGTGAAATGTAGAATTAACTTTTATTTGTTTAATCCTCTTGGTTCCGTGGATCCTGTGCACCCAGCACAGATTAAATTGAACCAAAACTCCTTTCCTTCTCTTTTGCCTTCCATCTTCCTTTCCAGCTCTTCTGCCTTTGCATGTTGGTAAACCAGCAGTGCTCATTCAGTTGGTTTATCTTGTCTCTTAGAGGCATGTCATCTTGGGAAACTGTCTAAATCCTTTTTTCATGTTTGTTTTACTTTCCAACAGTACTGTAGAGAAAGTGGAATTGTGAGTGAATTTAAAGTAGTCTAAGCCATATATAGCTTTTTATCTGGAAAAATAATGTTGATTCTGTGAGAACCTTCTAGAAAAGTGGAAAAGCTGGATTCTTACAGGGAGAGAAATGGTCAAATGGCAATAGGGGCAGTTACTGGTGGTAACCAAAATATGCAGAGGAGTTGCAGCAGCAGCCCAGCAATGTTTTCCATCGATATCCTTCATTAATGTGAGAGTTTTGAGTATTAAAGTTTTAAACATTCTTGCATAGGGAATTCTCATACACAAATTAGAGGTTTTTTCTTGATGATGTCTCATTTTAATTGTCTGTGTTTCCTTTCTCTTCCATGCAATTGCAGGTGGTGAGTTTTATCCAGCGTTTGCCTGGCTGCAAAGAGCAAGCATCTGTGTTCAGGGAAGAGGTAAGTGGGGTGTGCCCAGACCCTGTGCTGCAGATCCCTGCCATTACAGCAGAGAGCTCAGACCTGCTCAGCCCTTTCATTGCAGAGCAGTGGCCGCCTCAGCATGGAGCTGAATTCCACCATGGCTAATTGCATCTTGCTGCTTAAAATTCCCCGTGCAGTTCCAGTCATGGAGCTTCTGCTTAACATCCTGTCTTGGACCCTTGTGCCATGGGCTTGGCCCTGCTCTAGAGATGCCCTGTTGGAATGGTTGGTGAGGATCTCATCTGCTGCCTCTGACAAGGACATGTTCCTGTTTCCCTGGGGAGCCTGGCAGGCTCAGGGTTTCCCAGGAATCGTTGGCTTCCCCCTGGGCTGGGCTGGGAGCAGGAGGGGAACCTTTGATTTGACAAGCAGAGGTTGGGAAGTCAGAGCATGTGCTGTGTGACGAGTGTCCTGTCAGTACTGCCATGGGCTGGGCTCTGGTCCCGTTCCTGGTATGTTCACCGTGGCCTCTGGGAGACCTCCAAGGGCACAGGGTGTGGCTGTGCTGGTTTTTGGCACAGCTCTGTAGGTGCATCACAAACAGGGATCTCCTGGGTGCTTCAGCTTCCATCTATATGCAGGTCTCACTGGGAGGTTCTTTAGGAGCCCCTGATGAATTTGCACAGATGCCTTGTCCTGGCCTCATCTCATTCTGTGGGCAGCTCGTGGGGGTGGAATTCTTCCCTTCTGTCCTGCTCAGGTCATTCCTCACCTGCAGAGCTCCCTTCAGCTGTGGGCACCAGTGCCAGAAGCATGGGGAACTCCTGGAGTTCCAGAGGAGACCACAGGAATGGTCCAGGGGCTGGAGCCCCTCTGCTCTGGAGCCAGGCTGGGAGAGCTGGGGGTGCTCACCTGGAGAGGAGAAGGCTCCAGGGAGAGCTCAGAGCCCCTTCCAGGGTCTAAAGGGCTCCAGGAGAGCTGCAGAGGGTCTTTAGATGAGGAGTGACAGAACAAGGAGCAATGGCCCTAACTGAAGGAGGGTGGGCATTAGAAAGAAGTTCCTCCTTGTGAGGGTGAGGAGGCCCTGGCACAGGGTGCCCAGAGAAGCTGTGGCTGCCCCATCCTAGCAGTGTCCAAAGCAAGGTTGGACAGGGCTTGGAGCCACCTGGCATAGTGGAAAGTGTCCTTGCCCATGTCTGGGGGTGGAACAAGATGAGCTTTAAGGTTCCTTCCAACCAAAACCACCCCATGGTTCTGTGATTCTGTCCTCAGAGCTCTCCTGTGTGACTGTAGGAGCTCCAGGGAAGGGCTGGAGCCACTCCTCCTGCATGGCAGTGACTGGAAAGGGCAGGTCTGTGATCACTGTCTGCTCCAGAGCTGCCTCCCTTTCAGGGGGAATCAGGCTGCAGTGCATTTTGTGGATTTATCTATCTGTGGTTTGTTTTCCCTTGTTTTAAAAACTGTGCAGACTCACACAAAATAGGAAGCAAAAGAAATAGAGGCTTGCAAAAAGCACTGTCCACCATGTGACAATACAGTAGAATACTTAGGAACTGAATATAGTGGGAATAGTGAAATTTGTTCAAATGAACCCATCTTTCACTGTAGCTGTGTTAAAGGGATTTCTAGGGAGTGTGTATACAGAGGTGAGATGTATCAGCAAATCTAATAAATCCAACTCTTCTCCATGTATTTTATTTCTTCTGGTCCTGAACACAGTGAATACTTTCTGGTTCTGAGAGTGCTATAGCCACAGTCTGTTCTAATCCTTATTTTCTGCAAAGTGAGGTTCCCTACACCTGATTTAGAGGAGCTTGTGTTGTTTTTCCAGTTTATGCTCAAAGCACATTGTCAGTTTGAAGTTAAAACCCTTTTAGCAGTTTGTCTTTGGCCAGAATACAGGTGTGAGTGACAGGAGAGCTGAACTCCCCACACTGTCCAGGATCAGCCTCCAAATGCTTCATATTCAGGATAAATAAATCCCTTGCAGACTTCCCTTGCTGGGGGGCTGGAGGGGGATAAGTTGCTGCTTACATTAGGAGTGAAGAGAACAAATTGTGCACAGAATTCTAAAACCTATCCAATAAGATGGAACAAAGGAATGAATAATAAAGCACAGACTTGCTTCTAGGTCCAGTTCAGGGCAGGACTGTTTAAAATAAGTGAGTGTGAGGAAGTGCAGTGAAAATGAAGCATAGGAATAAATAATATTGGACACAAAGCCATTTTGAAATTTAGGACTGTTTTCCAGCAGTTTTCTGCTCCTCTTGACTCTATTATTTAATTTAAGCAGCACAGTCCTATTTGTTTCAGGCTGTTTTTAACACATTCATTGCAGCAGTGTAGACTTGAGGCAGCTTGAAAATAAGATTCAAGGACATAGTGTGGCCATCTGTGGTCTGGGAGCGCTGCTGTCATTCCTAGTGCAGGAATTAACTTCCCAGTTACTCTCAGTAGCAGGTTAAGTAACTTGCTGAGGGTCTCTTTTGTGGTGAGAGGTGGGAAAACCAAATCTCCTGGCTCCTGGCTCTTTGCTGTAATTATGTGTTCTCTGAGTTTACTCAGTGTTTCCTCTTGCACCAGGCATTGACATCTAAAAATATTCTATTTGGGAAGACTACAAAAATAGCAGAATTGTTATTCTGGCTGGGCTGACTGTCCAGTGCTGTGTGCTGCACACTGCACTGGTGAGCATCAAGCGAGAGGAGGAGACACTGTCAGTCTCTGTAAATGGATTTTAATGGAATAACTTAGGGAGACACTTATTGTTTGTCTGTGTCCATTAATCTTTGGCTTCCTCCCTGCAGCATTTGGGGTTTATATTAATTATATCTGTGTTGTCTCTGTGGATGTTCTTGCTTGAGTAAATTTTTAACCTTTTCCAGAAACGGTGTGTCATGATTTTACTCGCTGCTACCTACAGTATCCTGTGCGTTCACATGGTAGTATGTTCATCAGTTGCTTAATTTGCATCTAATCAAATATGTGTCCTTGTTGATGGATTAGGAGGCTCTGTTTTTCCAGCCATATTGCATCTTCACTGTGCCTTAGTCTGTATAGCATATGGAATCATGGAATGGTTTGAGTTAGAAAGGCCCTTAAAAGCTCATCTCGTTCTACCTCTGCCATGGGCAGGACACATGAGGCTTCTCCATTTCTAGGGAGAGCTCTGTGAGATGGGGTCTGTGTCCTTTGGAAAGAGGACATCATGGGGTGTAGGGGCCAGAACCAGGCAAGAATCCCAGAATGACCAGAAGTGGAAATCCTGCCTGTCCCTTGGTGGGTAATCCCTCCCCTGTTTCTATTCCAACCTCCAGCAGATTGATGGCGAGGCCTTCCTGCTCCTCAAGCAGAATGACATCGTTAAAATACTCAGCATCAAACTGGGCCCTGCCCTGAAGATCTACAATGCCATCCTCATGTTCAAGTCTGCAGAAGATAACTGAGAAAAGGCCTTTGGCAGATCCAGGAGGAATTGACAGGGAATGGATCTTCAGCTGTGAGCATTACAACACACCAGACAGGTGGATTGGGACTCTGATGCATTTTAAGTAGAATTTAGGAAAAATGGTTTGAGGTTATAAAAATCCTGCCACAGTCTGGAATATGGGGCAGCTTCACTTCCAAGAAGAGGATATTATTATATTTTGTAATTGAATTGGTTTTGATATATCAATCTCTTTTTGAGATCAAGAAGAAACCTCCAGTTCTAAGGGGAATCCAGGGTAGCACTGGTGGAGCCGCAGGAGCAAGAAGAAAGTTTTGAGTAAAACTGGCTTTGTGTCCAGTGATAGTGCCTGAAAAACTGAGTGATCACCAGCGAGATTAATGTGTTTTGTGTAATAAAAGAGAGAGGAAAAAGATGCACTTCAAAGCAATTCCCCCGTATCCTTCACTGCTGTGACTCAGGAGCTGACCTTTTCAGGACTGATTGTTAAATTCCCGTTTTTCATACTGATCCTGGTTGTTGTGATGCCCTTGGCTGCCGGGCAGCTTCCACCCCAGCAGGAAGGGAGCATGGGCAGCGGGTTTCCATCAGGGATGGCTTGCTCTGGTTCTGCCAGCAAGCAAAATGTCCTCATTCCTGTCATTCCCTGTCAGGAGGCAAGGGCAGTGCAGGTGGCCTTTGGGTAGGCAAAGATCCCATAAGGGCATCTGCTGCTGGAGACAGAGGGATGTGTTTTAGCTGTAATTCTCCCATCAGTGCTTTTGTGCAGCTCCTTCTGCACCAGGAACACTTGGCAAAATGGCACCATCAAGAGCGCTTGGGGATTGGTGTGTGTTTGTTCTTGCCCTCTCCACTGTCAGCCAAATGCTAAGAATGGGAGTTGGAAAGCCAGCAGTGGCCAGACTGTGTGTGCAAACAGATTCCCTAGAAACAAATGGCTTTTCTTTTGAACCATCCCAACTGATGAATGTGAAGTGCTTTGGCCTTTGCCCCTTGAGGTGGACTTGGATGTGTTGTGCCAGAGAGCTGGAGGGCAGGGGAGCAGCTCCTCTGCCTCTGGGAGCAGGCAGAGCACACAGGGATGTGAGACTGGAGAGGAGTCAGGACTTAAACAGCAAAATGAGGGAACTTCCCAAAGGAAAGAGAGCTGCTGTGTGGGGGAAAAGGAGTGGACTTGGGGCTGTGTTCCTGCACATGCAGCCTGTGCTCTCCTGGCTGGGAGCAGGGGGGTTCCTGCTGCAGCAGAGGCCGTGTAAGGAGCATCCCATGGGCATTGGGCTGGAGGTTTCCCCACGGGCACTTCCCGAGTTCTCCTCTCCCCGTGGCAGGGTGTGAGTCCTGCTGGGCTGTGTGCCCTGTTCAGGGTGTGAGTCCTGCTGGGCTCTGAGCCCTGTTCAGGGTGTGAGTCCTGCTGGGCTCTGAGCCCTGTTCAGGGTGTGAGTCCTGCTGGGCTCTGAGCCCTGTTCAGGGTGTGAGTCCTGCTGGGCTGTGTGCCCTGTTCAGAGTGTGAGTCCTGCTGGGCTCTGAGCCCTGTTCAGGGTGTGAGTCCTGCTGGGCTCTGAGCCCTGTTCAGGGTGTGAGTCCTGCTGGGCTCTGAGCCCTGTTCAGGGTGTGAGTCCTGCTGGGCTCTGAGCCCTGTTCAGGGTGTGAGTCCTGCTGGGCTGTGTGCCCTGTTCAGGGTGTGAGTCCTGCTGGGCTCTGAGCCCTGTTCAGGGTGTGAGTCCTGCTGGGCTCTGAGCCCTGTTCAGGGTGTGAGTCCTGCTGGGCTCTGAGCCCTGTTCAGGGTGTGAGTCCTGCTGGGCTCTGAGCCCTGTTCAGGGTGTGAGTCCTGCTGGGCTCTGAGCCCTGTTCAGGGTGTGAGTCCTGCTGGGCTGTGTGCCCTGTTCAGGGTGTGAGTCCTGCTGGGCTCTGAGCACTGTTCAGGGTGTGAGTCCTGCTGGGCTGTGTGCCCTGTTCAGGGTGTGAGTCCTGCTGGGCCCTGAGCCCTGTTCAGGGTGTGAGTCCTGCTGGGCTGTGTGCCCTGTTCAGGGTGTGAGTCCTGCTGGGCTCTGTGCCTTGTTCAGGGTGTGAGTCCTGCTGGGCTGTGTGCCCTGTTCAGGGTGTGAGTCCTGCTGGGCTCTGAGCACTGTTCAGGGTGTGAGTCCTGCTGGGCTGTGTGCCTTGTTCAGGGTGTGAGTCCTGCTGGGCTCTGAGCACTGTTCCATTGCTGCTGGCAGCACCACTCGTGCTCTCCCTCTGGCCACTCTCCCTGAGGGCTGTTTGGCTGTTCTGGAACCACCCCAGCTCAGGCAGCCCTTGCAGCCCTTTGTCCATAGCTGGGGGCTGAATGCTGTGTGTGGGTTTGTCTGTGTGTGTGTGACAGGTTCTGCCCTCAGCCTCTGCCAGGCTCTGGGGTGTCTCAGGGCCCTGCATGGTGATGTAATCCATCCACAGGCACCCCAAGCTCCCTTGGCATATCTGCCACCAGCATGGCTCCCGGGAGCTGTCGGGAACAGAGTGAACACGCTGTCCATGACTGTGTGGTGACACAAGGAACACACTTGTTCCCCCTTCCTGTGTCACCCACATGCTTTGTCCAACCCTCCTGCTGCTGAGAAGGTTCTTGTGACTTGTCTGAAGCAGAAGGTTCCTTAAAATTGTAAATAGAATCCACACCGCTGAAGCAATTCAGTCCTTGAGTAATATTTAGAACAATTTGTTTCCATATTTTTTTTAATAAGAATTTTAGGAGTTTAAGCCTTCACAGAGAAGACACAGGTTTGGTGGGATACTTAATAGCTGAACCATTAAATATCAGCCAGGCAGCTGCAGGGGAGAAATTTATTGCAGTGTTAAGGACTAGGCAAGGGGTGAATTTAGTTTATTAAAATACATTTTTAGTATGATAACCAGGATGTTCACCAAAGAGTCACATTTCTTTATCGTGCTCTGCACATCCAGTGTCAGCATTAAGACTTGAATTGTAAGTGGCATGTCCTGTCCTTTGACAGAACACACCTTCTGGGCAAAGCAAAATTGTCTCTTGACAACTGGAACAGAAGATCCAGAGCTGGGCTGTTTTATTCCTGGCTCTCCACTGACTTGCTAAATAACCCTGAGCCCTTCCTGGCCCCAGTTTCCCCCTCTGTAACACCCAGCCAGGTGGGGCAAGTGCAATTTTGCCTTTTTCTTCTTTCAAGCAAGCAGGTCCTTCCAGATTTTCTGTTTCACCTCCTTCCTTTGGGAGCCTGATTTGGGGGACAGCAGATTGCCTCTAGCAATAAACCAAAATATAACATTAATTCCATTTTTTTTACTATATATAGATGGAGGATGAAGAGAATCAGTTAAACAAGCCATGAGATTCTAGTCAGTGACATTATTCAAACAGAAGAGAACCTTGGGGCTTCTGAGCCAGCTGGATCAAAGAGGAAAATGTGTACTTGGAGGTTGTTCAGTGACAACCAGCACAGTGCTTTCAGCAGGGGAGAAGGAGGAACCTTTTAGGGATGAAAGAAGGAGGAATGTGCTTCTTGTGCCTTTTTTTGTAATCTGATAATTGTCTTTGCAGAGCAAGCAAGAATGTGCACACATCTATTCCCTGCTCCTTCCCCAAATATAAGCTGTATTCCAATTAAATCCAGCAACTTCACAGGACAAAAAGACTTCCAGTGTCTTCACTGGACACATTTAAAACTCCCTGATATTTACAATATAGAACAAAACGAAACCACATCTTTTAGCCCCATAACTGAGGAATTCATCGGTTGCTGGTGCCATTCCACTTGTGTCAGGGAGTGCTGCTTTCCCCTGTGTCTCGGTGAGTTGTTCCTGCTGCTTGTCCAAACTCTGCTCTGCCTGTTCCCAGTCCTGCTCCAGGCCTGTGCCATAACCAGGGCTCTGCAGGGGCTTTGGTTATCTGATGCCTTGTGTAATTTGAAATGTGCACTTTGAAGCAAAAATCCAAAAGTTGTGGCTTTGTGGGGAGCAAATGTGAAGCTGGGTAATGCCACCTGGGGTTGGGAAGATTTTGAGTCTGCTGGATGTCAGCAAGAGCCAGTTGTTGGCCCAGCTGAACCCAGGAGTCTCCTAGCAATGCAGATACATTCCTTAGAAGCAACTCGGAGCTGTGTCAAGTTCCCATGGGCCAGCCGTGCAATTAGGAATTTCCAGTTTTCAAAATCTTATTCCTGGCTGTGGTTTTGTTCCCTTTTTGTTGTTTTTGAAATTCAAAGCAATCAAATGTTTTCTCTTTTTCTCTTCTTCTCCTCGGCTGGGAGTCCTGTTAAATTTTTTCTGTGCCATCACCAACAATCATCCCCATAATCCAGTAGCAGCAAATTTCAGCCCTGGGTAATGAATCACATTAAACTTGGACAGGAGCATTTGGCATCGCTGACAGCAAAACTCTGCTGCTGAAGGAGAAGCCCAACACTTGGCCCAGGGATAAGCCAGTTCAGCTGTACAAGATTGCCTGCTACTTTTATGCCCTACTTAGGGATTTATACCACAGAGAGCTTTAAAGTTTTTGACATCCCCCCCATGATGTGATGAGCCAGCTTATTTTGGAGATTCCTGTTACTTGAACTGGAAGCACGTGTAGGGAAGAGAGCAGGGGCTCGGCTCAGCCTCAGAAATATCTGCCTGTTTTAAACCAAATACTTGAGCTTTTCTACACTAGCCATTACCTTGCACTCCACTGATGCTTTCCTCTGGAAATGTGAATAAAATTAATATAAGTTCACACCTGGTTTGTTTCTTCTGTGTGTGGGGCTGGCTGTCCTGGAGGGCTGGCACTGGGGGGCTTGGTTGTCACATTGTTATCCTTCCCTTAAACGGCAGTCACAACACAAGGCAGCATCTTCATTTTTATCTCTTTTGCCTGCTCTTATCTCTGTACTTGAGCTCTCCTTGATGTGTTCACAGGACAGCACTGGCTGCTGCAGCTGTACCTGATTCTCCAATCCCTCACTCTCCTCTGCTGCTGCCAGGTTTTAATCATTGAATCCTGGAATGACTTGGGATGGAAGGGACCCTAAAGACCATCCAGAGATGGAGTAGCTACAGCTGCTCTGGGCAATCTGTGCCAGGGCCTCCCCACCCTCCCAGGGAGCAATTCCTTCCCAAAATCCCATCTATCCCTGCCCTCTGGCAGTGGGAAGCCATTCCTTGTGTCCTGTCCCTCCAGACCCTTGTCCAAAGTCCCTTTCTGGGTTTCCCAGAGACCCTATAGGCACTGGAAGGCTTGTAGTTTCCTCTTGAATTCCTTAATCCCTCATGGTTTCCTATCACAAACAATCCCAGAACTTCATCTTCTTAAACAGCTCTCAAAGTTGGGTTTTTTACTAAAGCTAGCAAGAACTTGTTCTTAGTATGAATCCATATTGAAACTGCATTTTAGGGTCTGTCTGTTTTCCCTTTCCTTAATGCCCCCCTGGGCTTCTTCACTGTGTGTCCATAACCATGATAATTACCTGTTTCTGCTCTAATCATAATTAGCTGATAAATGCAAGCCATTCTCTGATGTGTCCCAGATGAGGCATTGAACCTGTCCTGCTCCTCCCCAGGTGTGTCGGGAGCTGCACCTGCAGCAGGTCCCTGCTCCAAGGGCAGAGGGGCCAGGGCCACATTGGCAGCTGAGGCTTGCAAACCTTCTGAAACTAAAAATAATGGAGAGTTGGCTCCCAGCCATAATTTCTAAACTATCCCATCTTTGGGGTAAACATTTGCTCTCATTGGTTTTTCCCTTCCAACGTTTTTGCTTCTATTTAAACCGTGGTTTGTTTGCTTTTGTTACCGTGATCGGATTCCCGGTCTGGGGAGCTGGGCTGCTTGGAGCAGCCTCGGGAACATCAAATGCTGCTCTGTGCTCTTGTTAGTTCCCTCGGGGCTGTGCTGGGTCCTGTGCCTGTGTCCTTTGCAATTCAGAGATCTGAGCTTCTCCTCAGCAGCGATTTTTTTCCCCCACAGTTTTGACGGAGAAGTTTGAGCACAGCAAGAAACATCAATTACCCAAATCGTTGATTGCATTTGCAGATTATTCTGCTCAGGCAAACATGGAATTTTTTTGTCCCAAGTCATATTTCTCCTTTGGCAGGGAAAGCCTGTGGTTGATCTTTTTGCCTGCTCAAATTACTCTTTCAGCCCTGACCATGCTCTGTGGACTGGTTTGTCCCTTGTGCCAAGCCCCATCACACGATGCCCAGTGGGGTTTGCAAACCCCCTGGAGGGACTGGAGGGGTCTCTCATTTTATTGGGTACCCTGCTGTTGGCTGTGGGTGCACAAGGAGGGGAGTACAGACCCCAGCTCTCACCTCACACTGTCTGGATCCTGCACCACCCTGGTTTCCACAACAAACCTCACCTGACAACCTACAATTCTCAAATCCTACAACTTTCTCAGGAGGAGGAACTGTAAAGACAAACCACAGCACTCCCCTGACAGGCCAGCCCAGTGGGAAGAAGGATGTGGGAATGGATGGAGAGGGA